CCCCCCGCTGGCTGTGCCACTGTGAGTATATATGAACCTCTGAATTGTAATCCACTACCTATGAATCTACTACATCAATTGTGAATTATGCTTTTCGCAGTAATACTGCAAGGCGGGCGGAATGTTCAATCCGTTCGCCAAATGGCAACCCTAACTTACCGCGTTCGCCAATTACTACTCCAGGCTCTCTGACGTTTAAGTAAGCCGAGGTTATTAGCATTATAAAAAAATAGGAAGGCAGAACCGCTCAGGGGAATTTTTCAAATCCTTGACGTTTGCAAGCATTTTAATTTTAAAATTTTACACACAAACTCGCACACACATTCTCATTTTCAATCTCAAACAATACAACTTTGAACAATTCCTTTTTTTTACTCTCAATTTTATTGGATTTTAAAATGTTGGCAAACTTCAAAAAAAAAATCATGGCCGACGCATTGAGAGAACGGTTTTCCCTTACTATGCTTTTATCATGGTTATTAGTATTCTGGCGATCCCTATAGAAGACAGACGTGGTAAGTTGAGTTCCTTTTGGGGAAAGGCTTTGGAAAGGACCACCCCCCCTTCGTCAGTGAAATGAAACTTTTTATATTTGAATTAATAACACAATACTATTTTACCCTTCCGAATTATAATTTTTTTATTTCAGACTGACAAATTATCTTTTAATGAATACATATATAAAATTATCGGTTGGCGGCTCATGTATTAATTTGCGAAATACACTAGGCCATTTTGCTTAGTTCCCCACAGTGTGGGGAAATAAAATTGTTCTTTCAGTACGAAATCTATACAAAAACTGTACTTTTCGACTGTAAATTGTATCGACTTTTTAATTTTCTCATATGCATGCATGCATACATAGATTCCCTTCAAGACCAATGATTTGATTGTATTCACGGGAAAGTTTATGTAGGTACATTTACATATTTTACACTTTTAACATAAATGTCAAGGCAGATATTTTAAGATACACTTCTTAACAAACAAATTTTTTTAAGTTATTATGAATGGATAAAAGATACATCTTCTTTGAATTCAGTACTAAAACTGGACATTTCAAGTGCTTATCAAAACTTTATATATATATATGTTAACTAGATTCGCCATTTATCTTAAAATTATATAATTTTAATTATTTGTTTATAAAAATGCAGTTTACACTTCAACAAAACCCGTATAAATCCAAAGTTTAATCTTTGCGCAACATTAAAAAAATCAACAAACTTTCGTAAAGCTTTTTAATTCGATTTCCTATAAATACATATTTTGAGTATGCAGTTTTGTAGCCCGATCAATACAATAAAACGCAAGTTTAAAATACATAGCTGCGACTTATCGTTGATTTTTAATGTGTTTTTTTTT